CATATTTTTCTCCTTTTCGTATATGTTTAACCGTTGCTTCATAATTGACTCTATTCTTTCGGGGCATGGTAAGTGAAAGTTTATGTGGCACCGGTATACCAAGTTCTCTCAGATCTATGCATAATGACTATTATTCATTAACACGAAAACCCCACTCTCGACAAAGTTCGGCATAATACTCATTTGGATCAAAAAGTCTCTCACTCTTGTAATCATCATCTCACTCTTGTAATAACCATATGGGTTGATGCCTACAATTGGTATCACCTACTCGTGGTCTTAAAGTAAACATAATGTGCAATGCATGTTATATGATCCATCTTATATTATGTTTTAATAGTGGTTTTCATGGTCTGAAATAAATACATTTGTCAGCAGTGCAGTAGTTTGTAGTCACCTTTATGTTTGAGTTGATGGTCAAACAGCAACAAGATACTTATGTAGTACGTGTGACTATACACTATTACATGTTAGCAAAAATAGACACTGGTGCGCAGTGATTGTGACAGCATACTGAGAAATGTAGTCCACTGATTTTAATAGACTCTAATTCATACTACGTCATAGTGATTCATGACCTATGATACGTTTAGCAGTATTAGGGTTTGTGGCTGTTAACTACTGTTTAGTCACAGGATGTGGAATGTGACAACACACTAGTGCATTGAAGTGCAATGTAGGGTATTCATTAACGTGTGCTGCTGAATAAAAAATAGTTACAATGACTGACAATTGCATCATTGTCAGTCGTTGTGACAACACACTAGGTTACTATGACTAAACACTGGTTAAATGTCAGTTTGTATGACTACACAATGCTTAACTGTCAGTAAGTGTCACTAGATATTATTGTGTAGTCAGTGACTGTAACTATATAATATTCTAATGTCATTCATTTCGGTTGTAGACTAACATACTCACATAAAAAAATTGTTTATAAGTATGAACTCATGTGAAACATTTAATGTACAGAATTCATCTCTAACAATGAATTTTAGTCTAAGAACCTTATTTGAAACTCTGGATTATCACTGGGCTTTAGAGGATGAGTTCTTTTACCTAACGAATCCTCGGTTACGATATTCACTAACAGCTACGAACACATTGATGGCGGAATGACAATATTGCTTGACAGAAAAAAAAAAATCTAAGCTTAGATTTACGTTCTTGCAACATAAGAAGGCCTCGACAACTTGCCATTGGTATGCCTATTAAAACTCCTCAAGAATAAAAACGATTATTGTTTTGCATTCAAGTTGAGAATAATCAAATGAAAATCTATTGCAATCGGTACAATCTGCGCCATATTACAAGTGACCGTGCTGTAGAAGGGAGGATGCAAGAAGCAATTTTAAGCTACCAATTGAGTGGTGAAGATAGATGTATTTCTGATCATTACTTGTCTGACAAAGATGAAGACCTATGAAGAAGTGTCATGAAAATTTTGTTTTGTAATATTTACACTTTCGTCGTCGTACTTGTGTTTGCAATATGTTTATGTACTATTTTTGCAATGTCCATCTAAATTTCAATAATTTATGTTATGTTATTCAACAAACATTTCTTTAGAGTATTGAATAAATAATCTGAAAGGCAGTAATGAATTAACATTATATAAAACTATGAACAGAAACAGATTTTATATACAACAATAATAATTACAAATTTTATACAAAAAAAGGTCAAAAAAGGACTACGTCCCATAAGGTGATGGTCTCCTCTGTCGCTTGGGCTGCTGAACATCAGACGGATGCGGTATATCTTCTGTGACTCCACCATCTACTGGATTATGTGAATAGTGTGTATGACGATCAACTCCATACCGACCTCTGCCTCCACCTATGTGTGACAGTGATGGCTTCTGTGTAACTCCCTCAATTGGAACCTCAACATCATCGGAACTGTCATCGTATGGAACAGAAGAAATAGGTCGTATGGGCATCAGTGGAACAATATGTGGAATACATGCCCATACATGTGGAAGTGATATATCTATTCTAACTAATGCCTCTGGTGCAGGTGTGAATGAAGTCGTCGATACATCAACACCTGGTAAGGTCAAAGGTGGCCCACATGATGTAACTATATGACGATCAATTGATGATGTAGCAGCATGGTGAACGACCGGTGTAGGAATGTCAAAATCAAAAGCTAGGACATATGGTGTAGATGTGTCTGCCTTTGTAGTAGTTTGGGGAACATATGTAGCCGATGAGCCTGCCTCTAATGATGTCATAGCGGTATCCACAACCGATGAGGGAGTCTACCCATGTATGCGTGCAGCTGGTTGACGAGGAATGCGTACACCCTGCTGTTGTGCATGCACTAGGGCTGTAACAACTAGCTACTGAATGACTGTCGGAGGTTGCATAAGTCTTCTGTGCTTGGAAAGACCTGACAAACATCGATAGCTAAGATCCCCCATCTGGCTGATGGCCGTCAAACATGTCCCCAAATCAGGCTCCCCACTAGTTGTATCACGAGCTATGTGATATACCTCTATCAGTGTCTGTTCTTGCAGCACCATAAAATAAGGATTAAAATCAATATTAAGTAATTTTTGTACCACATTTAATATATATACCAAGTAAATAACACATACCAACAGCTCGATGATACTGCCAACGGGCTGAAAACTAACGTCAAGGCGCGGCATCGGTGGTTGGATAAGTAGACGAGTAATGCGTCGATACCACTACATGTAAGGATCAGTGGCATCCATCATATCGAGCGTAGGCTCGCCGTGAACAATAGTATTAATTAGGGGGTCTGTGTATTTTGAGTGAACAATAGTATTAACGTCAGGGGATTTGAGTGTAATTTACTAACAAATATACTAACAAACATTGATGACAGTGGTTTCAATTAGGCGTGCACATAACTTAGGGTGTGGGATCTGTGTATATTATTAAAAATGTCAAGAGGTTTGAATGATTAAGTGACAAACCTCAAAGGGTCAGTGTATAATATAAAATTAATGTAGATTGAACCTAAAATCCAAAAGTGTAAATCCAAATTCTAAGCTCAACTAGGTTAAATCCAATCACAAGGCCAATTTAATGAAACAAACTTCTAAATTAAATTTTAATCTTTGAACGTAAAATTAATAACATAAAATAAAACTATAAAATAAAAATTGATACGACTTAAAAAACTATTTTTCAGTGGTGCAATATAACGATTTCTTACAGAAAAAACCTGTGCACATATTGATGTATATGTGTGAGTGTGAGAGAGAGACTAATTGTGTTATTAATTTTTTAGGTAATTTGATTGATGATGTGGCTTTTTTTCTTTTGGTAAATCATAATCATTGAGAAGCTTAAATGCAACTGGTGGTGATGTTCATGAGTCTAAAATAAGTGGATCACGATTGAGCTTGTACATTGTCTTAAAATATATGCCCTTTTTGTGCTCTTGATGAAGCTTGTTGTAGTTCAAAATATTTGTCTTCTAGATACATTGCGTGGTACTATGGTAAGACCAGTTTTGTAATAAAAGTTTGTATAGCGGATGAACACCCTATTTCAGGGTCACTATTTTATGTTCTCACATTAGGTTTTAAATGTGTAAACTTTGTTATGCGTCGAGGTCATTGAAATTATGAGTATATGAACTGAGTATCAGAAATCCAAGCATTGCTTTCCAGCAAAAGAATATACATACATAGCAAGAATTGCACAATTCCTAAATGTAAATCCTTTATTTGGTTTTGCAAATCCTTTACAATTCTCCCAAACAAGGTAGAAAAGGATCAAGGAGTGACCCAACTCAATTCTACCAATGAAAAAAATTTCTTCCACAAAGATAAAACAATAGGGGAATACAAGAATAGATAATTAATAGTGTTACTATAGCCACAACACATTACACATTAATCTTTATTTTTGTTCTCCACATTGGCGTCATCAAGTACTAATAGATGTTTAGACTTTAGACTATAAATAATATATTTTAAAGCTTAACATAAAATTTGACCCAATGACCAATGCATCTAAACCTTAGTAGCCAAGGCTATTATATAATATTTTTATCACCCTAATGTTTGTTTAAGAAGTTTTCGAAACCCAAACACTTCTACAGCCTGATGGAACATATCCGAAGGTAAGATTTTAAGGCCTCCATCAAATTTTTTTGCTCTGTTATCGATCTTTCCTTCTTGCATCTATTCTATTTTGAACTACCTTTCAATTAACTAAAAATTGGGAAGAGTGGCAGTTACCGAGAAATGTAGGTCACCCTTGTTAACTAACAGTAGCATTGGGTGGTTGCTGAAGGTTTGCCTGAAGGTGTAACTGGGTTTCGGATGTTGGAGGGTTTTGATGGATCGCCTCAAGAAGCTTAGGCTTGGGTGGTAGTGGGTAGTGTTGGGTGGTCGTGGGTGAGGCTGGGTGGTGATGGGTGGTCGTGGGTGGTGATGGGTGGTCATGGGTGGTACTGCGTGTTGGTGGGTGGTGCTGCAATGGTGGTTCTTCCGGGGGGCTCAAATGGGGTTAGAGAATGGCGCTCAAATGCTGATTGAGAATGTTTGCTATGGGGTGCTGTGATGTCGCCTGAGTGAGTTAGGGCTCAAACATTTGGGCAGGGGGAAAAGAGAAAATAAGGGAAAGGAAAGAAGAGAGGAGGGAAAAATGGGTGCTAGTTTGAGTTAAAAACATCAGTAGAACTAACATTTTTTTATTAAAAACATCAATTGCACCGACGTTTTTATATTACTTGGAATGTGCTCTCCAATCTTAAAGACGACGTTTTTTGCCTTAAAACATCAGACTAATTGACGTCTTTAACCATAAAAATATCAGACCAATTGGTGCATTTAAAAATACTTGACTTTAGAAATTATTTTCAAACTAATCATTACTTGGGATGGGTCAAAAGCTCAAGCTCAAGAATTAAACTAGCTTTGATCTCTTCAGTGCCATGCCGTATAAAGGAATGAACAACCTTTTATTTTCCCTGAAAAGATCTCCTTCTAGTTCCAACTTCCCTTCGCCTTTCAGAACCGAACTTCCAAATTCAACTCCCCGGCTTTGTTCTCCGATGCTATTATGGATCGAACTCTGGAATTCGCCGGTTCCATAATCATGAAATGGAACCCAGAAACTTCAACATTTGCAAACGTCACTTCTCTCTTCTACGAGAACCGTGGTGAGGGCAATGATTTCATCAAGAACGGCAACGGTTTGCAAAGGGCCATGCACTTTTTAGCCTCTAAGAACTCCGGTTCGGAGAAGCTCGTTCGTGCCCAGAACCTGATGCAAATCGCCATGAAACGACTCCAAAAAGAGTTTTATCAGATTCTTTCGATGAACCGAGCTTATCTGGATCCTGAGTCGGTCCCGGCTCGATCATCGCATGCTTCAACTCGATCGAGCACATCCGACTACGAAGACGGTGATATTGGACCCGAAGCTGATATTAAAATTGCTGGCGATTCCATCGAAGTCGAAGATGTTTCGAATATGGCCATGGTGGATTTGAGATCAATTGCTGAGTGTATGATTTCGTCTGGATATGGTAAAGAATGCGTGGAGATATACAAAATTAGAAGGAAATCGATAGTTGATGAAGGCATATACAGACTCGGAGTTGAGAAATTGAGCTCTTCACACCTACGTAAGATGGATTGGGAGGTTTTGGAGCAGAGAATCAAGAACTGGTTGAATGCTGTGAGGATTGCAATTAAAACTCTCTTCAATGGAGAGACAATTCTTTGCGATCACGTCTTTGCATCCTCGGAAACAATCAGAGAGTCAGTTTATACTTAGTAAGTAAAGAAGAAGCGTCAATCCTCTTTGGATTTCCGGAAAATGTGGCGAGAAACAGCAAGAAATCACCGGAAAGAGTATTCCGGAATCTCTAGATGTACACAGCCATTGCCAATCACTGGCCGGAGATCGAGTCCATCTTCTCCTTCGAATCAACCTTCGACATCCGATCTCAAGCACTGACATCACTCGTCAAGCTCTGTGAATCTGTACGGACATCGTTAATCGAGTTCAAATCTGCGATTCGGAAGAATTCTTCAAAATCACCGGTCGACGGAGCTGGAATTCATGCTTTAACGACTGATATGATGCACTACCTCTGTCTTCTCGGCGATTACAACAATATACTGGCTGATATTTTAGCCGATTTACCACTGCCTGCCAAATATTCTTCGCCGGAGTCGTACTTGGACACGTCCGATTCCGAATAATTTCCGTTACCAACGATTTTTCTCCGATTCGCGTGGCTAATACTCGTCTTACTCTGCAAACTCGATGGCAAGGCAAAGCACTACAAAGACGATTCGCTCTCATAACTCTTCTTAGCCAACAACTTAAACTACGTTGTTTTTAAAATCCGTACATCGAACATGAAGTATTTATTCGGCGACAATTGGTTAACCAAGCATGAAACAAAAGTATTCGGAACATGGAGTTGCGTTGTAGGTTCCCTCCCGGAGGATCCGACGTCTGTAACGTCGTCGGAAGAAGTGAAGGAGTGTTTTAAGAGATTTAATTCGTTATTTGATCAGGCTGTCTGTGTGCGTTGTACCTGATAGTAAGCTCCGAGATGAAATCAAAGTCTCCATAGCCAGAAAACTTGTTGGGGTGTATCGAGAGTTCTATAGTGCGCATAGGCTTGTGATTGGAAGAGAGAGAAATTTGGCTTTTGAGGTCAGTGATGAATCAAGCGAGTAGATATCAAAATTTGCATTGAAATTATCTCTAAGCAAAATTGTCGCTACCAGTGGGTTCTCTATTAATAATAGAGTGCAAGCACCATTTCTCAGTCAACAAGAAAAAACATTGTGAATAAATTACTTAATTCAACTACATCAAAGGGTGCGATTGTTGGGGATTAGTAAGATAATCACAAATATGCTTCTACTCTGAATTAGCTATATCACGGAAACAAATACATGAATTCACACCTCTCCAAGACAAAGTTTAAATTCTTACTTGCAAAAGATTAAGTCATTCTGAATTAAAATAAACCCAATATAGGTATCACTTGCAATGAATTTCCATTTTAAATTACTGATTTGTATGACAAAGGGTTGAAAGATGTATAGAACTCTGCCTTAGTTGCAATTTGATATTGTTTACACCCAAAATAGTGAAATTTAAGGGTGACATGTAGAAATGATCCGACAGTCATGAAAGAGTCTGTGAGAGTCTACATTTGATAAGGTGGTTAAGGAAGTAGGACTCTAAAAATCTCGATAAACAAACATGATATCATGAATTGTTAGTTAGAGACGGTTCGATGCATGTCTGTACATCTCGAGGAAAGAGGTCATTCTTACAATCATGGCCGAAAAAAGATGACTTCAACAGTTGAGGGTCATCTCCTATAAATAACAAAAGCAAGACTATAGAAGAAAGATCATCGATCACACAAAACAACTCTACACAGACCCAACATCTTTTCTACTTATTTCACTTACCAACAAATTTACCTTAACTTGTAATCCATCACTCCGGTAATTTTTATCATTCTTCGATTAATGTTAAGTATAGTAATCTTTTCATTCTTCGAGTTCAGTTTCTCTGCTACTTTACCATCCAGTTGTTTTTCTACATTCCAGTCCATTACGTTACAAGTTGAGAAATTATTTAAGTCCTTGATCCCTAAAGCATAGAAAAAAACTTAAAGATAATCTTATGTCTCGTTATAATTGCCTGAACAATCATGATTTTAGAATCTCACAAAAGCTCGAATAGGTAAGGTCATATATGTTTGGATTTTAAGCCTAATCAGACTTTGTCATGCCTGTAATCCAAAAATATGGTAAATATATTTTTTTGGCATGCCCCGTGAGACCCCAAGTAGCTACATAACGAACACCCGTGGAAAAGGCCAAAATTGGCAAAGCAAAAATGCCACAAGTGCAGGAGGTTGTTGAAGAAGGCATGTCTGACATCCCCAACTTGTAGGAAGATTTTCCCCTGCTTGGGGGGCAAGAAAATCCAGAATTAGACTCAGAGTCAGAGCCGGAAGCTTCGATTAAGGTGTTGTGGTAGGAAGTCTTCCAATAGGTTTATGGGTTCATCAGTGACCTTGGAGAATTGATCAGAGAGGAATCTAGTTGCACTGGAGCGACTGTTTGACAGTTTGAACCGTCTAAAGTTGCAAGACAACCACTATTTCCCGCTGTACAAATAGTACTCCCAGAGGCATCGTAACCAGTGCTGCCCTTGAGGGCGCAGTAGGCCAGAAATAACTATTAGAGAAATAACAATCCTCTTTTCCTGGAAGATATGACCCCTAATCCCGAGTTTGGGGGGGTATAGAAGGCAATAGTAATTCGTCAATTTTCCTACCAGCGGTGACCCAGGTGGTCATGAACCGGGATCAACTAGATGAAATTATTTAAGAACATGTCAGCTCTACCATGAGATGCGTCACTAGGCTGACATACGAAAAACATGGCACGGTATCATGCTGGAGATTGTACATAGGTGGATTCTCCACTAGTGAGGGCAGCGTCATAGGGTTGGTATTGATTAGCTGCCATGGCACTCCACTCAAGTACTATGCCTCTCTTCATTTTACGGCATCAAGCAACCAAGCAGAATATGAGGCTCTCATATCAGACGTGAAACTCGTAATTGAGATGGAATCCCTCTGCCTGACAGCTTATAGCGATTCCTAGTTGATAGTCAACCAAGTAAAAAGAGATTTCGAAGTGAAGGACAAAAAGATGCAAGAATACGTGTCAGTGGTCCAAGCTTTGTTAAAAAAGTTCAACCACTTCCAAATCTACCATGTGCTCAAGGAGTAGAACGCCATGGCAGATGCTTTCGCCAAGTTTGCATCTACAAACATACTCATGTTCCAGCATTGACAGGCCACCAGCTTGAGCCAAGCAGACTCAAGGTAGAGGAGGACAATGTTAACTGTGCATCATTTGAAGCTAATTGGATGACACCTATTCAAGCTTACCTAGAGGAAGGCACTCTTCCAGAGAATCCAGTGGAAGCCAAAAAGTTGAGAATGAGAGCATCTAGATACATCATCCTGCGTGACACCCTTTACAAGAAAGGTTAGTCACTAACACTGCTTCGCTGTCTTTCCTCTGAGGAAGCCAATTATACCATGAGGGAAATCCACGAGGGAATATGTGAAAATCACTCAAGAGGGCACGCACTAGCACACAAGGCAGTAAGGCAAGGCTATTACTGGCCTAGCATGATCAAATACACCCATGAGTTCACAAGGAATTACGATAAATGTCAACGCTTTGTAACAGTGTCGAGACAACCACCAAAAAGGCTCACCACCATCATGAGCCCATGACCCTTCTCCATATGGAGGATCGACATCTTAGGTCCCCTACCTACGAGTCAAGGCCAATGCAAATTTGTGGTAGTAGCCATTGACTACTTCACAACATGGGCATAAGCTGAGTTCTTAGCCAGAATAACAGTCCAAAAAGTGAAAGACTTCATCTGTAAGAGCATAGTATGTCATTTTGAAGTACCTCATGTAATAGTAAGTGATAACACCAAGCAGTTTGACAACAAACTCCTTAATAGCTTATGTGTTGACCTACATATCAAGAAATGCCACTCTAGCTTGGCCTATCCACAAGCAAACATGCAAACAAAGGTCACAATCACAACAATCCTCCACAACCTGAAAACCAGATTGGAAAGTGCCAAGGGGCTATGGGTGGACAAGCTCCCAGGAGTACTATGGGCTTACCAGACAACTCCAAGAAGCCTTACGGGTGAGATCCCATTCTCCTTAGCCTACGTGATAGAGGCGATCATACTAGTCAAAATTGGGGTACACTCCCTTAGGGTCCAACACTATAACCTAACCACTAATGAAGAAGACCTCCACGTCAACCTCAACTAGGTAGAGTAGGAGAGGGAGATGGCCATACTCTGGAATGCATAGTTCAAGCGTCGCATGACCAAGTATTACAACTCGAGAGTGAAGCCTCGCTCTTTCTTGCTTAGGGACCTAGTCCTCAAAAAGGTCATCCTACCTACCAAGGACTCTCGAGAAGGACCCTACATGGTTACAAAAATTGTAAGACGAGGCACCTACAGAATTCAGAACTCAGAGGGGAAAACCCTAACCCATCCATCAAACTTGGAACGCTTGAAGATGTATTACCAATAACGGGGTGCAAGTCAATGAGCGTATAAGTTAGTGACAATCATTTAAATTAAATTTTGTTGTTTTAGTTAATTATTTTTGTTATCTACTTCAAATTATGAAATAAAACTTTGCAAGAGTATCTCTGTCAAAAACTATCTCTCATTCCATAGAAGTTTGTAAACAATTTACAAAAGATAGAACATGACCTAGCAACAAAAAGAGAAACAAAAAAGATAAAAGTGTTATACTCCTAACATCACTCATTGCCCCCCCGAGCCACTCTCATCAAAGCTCTCCTTGTCACCATCAATCCCGATGCCTCATAAGGAACAAAGCCGGAAAAGTAAATGACAGGGAAGGCTATTGAGGCCTTCCTCTAAACTCCTCATAACCATCAATAAAAGCGCCTGCAATGCCCCTCTAAGCTGCCTCCATCCTTCTCTTCATCTCAATGGAGTGAGCCTCAGCCCTGGCCGCTATCTCAGTCTCTGCAACAGCATCCTTCTCTCGAGCTATTCGTAGCTCGGTCTCAGCTACAACAACCCTTTCATGGGACGCCCGCAACTTTATCTCTGCTCTCACGCAGGTAGCCTCTCTGTCATCCTCCAACTGGGCAGCCCTTTTATGGGACACTAGAAGCTCAGCCTCAGGAGGCGCATCTTTCTTGTAAGCTAGCCTCAACTGTTCCTCGGCCACCTCTCGTGCCTACCTCTCTAGCCTCAACTGCTCCTCAGCAATGTCTTGTGTCTTCCTCTTTTTTGCTAAATGCCTTGATGCTTCTCCAAACTTGATTGTCTTTGAAAAAAGGCATGAAAAGTATTAGTCACCTACAAGCATTTAGAAGGCATGACATGAAAAGAAAGGCAAAACACATAAATCAAAGATGAAAAGGAGGAAGGTATATTATAGCAAACCTCTCCATCGCGGTGTCAATGATGTCTTCTGGACCTCGAGAGCTGACCTCTCTGATATCTGCGGCCGTCACAAATCTCCAAAGTTGTTCCTTGGCCATATTCATGTTCTGTAGCATGGACACTGAACCACTGCTAGAAGTCGGACAATAACGTGGAGCTCCAGTCCCGATGAAAGGCTGTACGGCAGTCTCAACTCTCGAAGTGGGGGTACCCTCTAATCCAACCTCTCGGGATATAACATGCTCATCAGATCGCGTGAGAGACACTGGGGGCATCGACCTTTGCCCTCTTGGGAGGAAGGGAAAACGTCACCCTGGAAGCATAGAGAGCCTCCACTATTGCTCTATCAATAGTGGAACTTGTGGAACTCGTATAAGAATAATAATCTACAGTATTACAGTCATCAAAGTTTGTTGGAAGAGTCAAATACCTTTTCTCTTTGGCCTAGGGGAGGCTCTACGATGACCCGCAGTGAACATAAGGGCCACAAACTGCTTGATAGGATGATCTCCCACAACCTGGACCCTACTCTCCTACTTCGCAAATAATGTGGGTAGAGCTGCAAAGGAACCAACACATGCAGTTAATGCAAGGGACATAACAGTCAAACATAAAAGCAAAGGTAAAATCCTCACCTAGCTTAGTCATCGAAGCAGTGTCCCATCTCGAAGGCACTAAGTCACGGCCCTCTTCAGTGGCCCACTTATCTTCGACAAAGCAGAACCTAGATTTTCCAGCTGTGATAATTTGAAAGTATTCCAGCAATAAACTTATCAGACCTCGAAGCGAATCGGTACCGTCCTTGATGAGGAGTAGGATTATCTAGTAATACGTACGAACCCATGAACTCCTCAAAAGGAGGAGAAACACCCTCGCCATGAACCAACCGCCATAGCAAAAAGAACACCAAGATTACCCTCCAACCATTTGGGGTCAGTCTCCCCAGAGTAAGTGACAAGTGGTCAAGAATTTGACAGATAGGCCCAGGAATAGGAAATCTCAGTCTCGCATCTAGGACGTCCTCGTAAAAAATAATTTCCCTGGAAGAGTTGAAGCATGCTGGCTCATCCACATCAGCCTAGTAGCATATGATAGCGGGGGAAATATGATATGATGACACAATGCGAGCAATGTCATCATTACAATCTATGGAGCTAAAGATAGAGGTTACCTTCGAACCGTCACTGTCAGTCGTACTTTAGCCTCGCAGAAGGTTCATTGTGCTATTCCTCATAGTGACTTTGTCAGACTGAGTACCTACCAAGATCAGAGCTAATGCCAGGTAAATTTCAAGATGAAGAAAGGATAGATAGGCGAGTGGAATCGCCTTACGTAATAGAGAGGTCTAGCACGGTCTCTCTTTGGCAAAATGCAAGACATTGTTTTCGCTGTTTAGTATGCTTGCTCGTTGTTCTCTGCAGATGCCAGACAACCGCTCGTCAAGACCTAGCATCCCAGCATTGTCGCCTGCACCAGTGCTGTCAACGCTCACACTAGCCTGGTCCACGCCGAGGGCAACGCCTCCACTTCTGCCATTCCTGGCATCACCGCTTAGGCTGTCATGGGTGTTGCCTCTAGCGCGAAGGGCACCGCTCAGACCTCCGGTGTCGCTGGTGTCGCCAACCAGATCACACCCGCCAAGGGCGTTGCCCACCTGTGCGCAACCCAAGGCATCATAACCTACCTATGTGCTACCCAAAACTTCGCTGCCCTCTTGTACACGACGCAAGGAGTCGCCCTCCTATCCTCCAGTGTCGCCCAGCAACCTGCTAGTGCCACCCAGCTTACTAGTGTCGTCCAGCAGCCTGCTAGTGCTACCCAGCTGCCTGGCGTTCCCTCTCCCGACATTAACTCTTTCTGGGGCACTGCCTCTTGCTCCCTTGGCACTATTACCTCCTCTATTGCTGCCTCTATTGCCAACTGAACCACCTTTTGGCTCCACACTTCTCTCATTTGTTGTGTTTTCACCCAAAGCACCCCCATAAAGCTCCTCTTCCAACCTTCGATGAAGACTCCTAATTCTTCAAGAGGATATCTTTTGATTGAAAAAGGAGATGAAGTGGTTCAAGGTATAAATGTTGACCACTAAAGCCCTAGGGGTTATCCCCTAAAAATGAAAAATGGGGTTTTTATTGCCAATGGATGGGGTTTCTTGAAGCCTTAAAGAAGATGCTTAAATGGAGGAAAGGGGTTTTAAGGTAAAATCCCATAATCGATGATAGTACCATTCACCAACAAAACAAGAAAAATGAAAAAAGTGAGCTCCCAAGGTCTAAACGGAGCGAGAAACTAAGGAGGCTACCACCATGCAGAACAAAAAACCTTCTCTCTATCTAGATGAAGGGGCTCACTTATACCCTCAACCTCCTTTGTTACAACTAGGGCTTATGGCATGGGGGTCAAATGATGAGTCTAGATCCAGCTGGGTCCAAGTCCATTCACGGGAAAAGCCTAAATTAGCAAGAAGGCAAGCTAAGCTCAGCTTATGGCCTCAACCGAATCTAGGCCTCGACCTAATCCAAGCCTCAGCCCAATCCACAGTTCAAGAGACCCAAGAAGATCAACGCACATGGAAAGCAATCATCGGGATAGCCACTCTCAAAGATCAAGACTATCTTTAATTGTACATATCCTTAGTTGTAGTTATCCTCCCTAAAAAACTAGTAATCTACCCTTCACGCCACTACCTCAACTAAGACTTTGTGTCTATAAATTGTAAACCCTCTACACATGAGGGACATATCTCTACATCTCTCACACAACTATCTCTCTCATATAGCGATCCCTCCCAAAACTTACCTTTTGCTCTCTCTCTCTCACCTATTACTTCATTAATAAAGTTTTTTGGCCACCGTCACCTCTTTCAGTGGTTAGGTTATCTCGACCCAACCATCCAATCTTTGCCCTCTTGCCATTAATTGCTTCATTAATTATCCTACATCATACACTTGACTGTTTGATTGTGCATAGCCTAATTTGTGCATAGTTAGATTCGACTTATTTAAAAGATAAACTCAAAAATATGATTAGATTTGATTCATTTAAGGGTAATGCTACATAAAACTTATTTAATGATCTTCTTTACTTATCTTATCATTCTCCGTTAAAGTAATGCTACACTCATCAAACTTATTGACCAAATATCCATCCCAAATGACATGGCACCAAATAAATAAGTTCAAGTCAACTATCATGTTATTTAGAATAGATATTTGGTCTCAAAATTTGATTAGTCTAACATTAATGTCTCTGTTATTAGATTGACAATGAATTTTACTATCAATTCAATGGTTATGATCCATCATTAAATAAACTCCATTTAATAAAATCATTAAATTAAATACAACCCATCAATTACAAATGAGTCAAATTGTTCATCTTAAACTAGATTATGCTTATGTGATGAGTAAGGTTATAAGAGCCTAAAAACTTAACTTAATTTATTGGTACAATAATAATGTGTCAAATGATAAATTTCTAATAAAAAAAATTTAACAATTATAATTACAATTACAATTACAATTACAATATTCCTATTAAATCGTCATACTACATCGTCAACTCAAAATTTAAGTCATATTTAAGTTCAATAATGCAATTCAGGTCAAGTAATGCAATTCAGGTCAAGCAATGGATAACCTATCGAGACATTTTTGAATAAAGTAATATTACATGAATTTAAAAATTAAATTTAAAAATTAAATTATTAATTTAATAATTAAAATCATCAACTTTAAGTCCATATCCCTCGACGATGCCTTTCTTCCTACTCAGTCTTCTCTTTGGTGTTGCAAGCTGCAGTTGACTTCTCGCTACCACCACGAGGGCCACAACAGCACACCACACCACTCTCTCCGCCCCCAAAATGGCAAAACTGCACCTCCTCCTCATCCTTCTCACCCTTCTTTCCCTCACCACCGCCGAGATCAAGACCGTAAAGATAACTTCCGATTCCCGCCCGACGATCCTCTTCCGGAAATTCGGCTTCACCCACACCGGCCACCTCTCAATTTACGTCTCCGCCTCTGCCTCTGCCTCTGCCTCCGCCTCCGTCAACTCCTCTTTCTCCTCCATCGACCCTTCGCGCCTCGCCTTCTTCCTCCTCTCCGAAGAGTCCGTCATCCAAGTCCTCCTCGAACTTATGCACAATCCCAGCTTCTGCATCATCGATTCCAAATTCATCAACCTCCTTTTCACTCTCCGCGACCTCTCACCATCTCCTACCTCTTCCTTCAACCAATCCTACCCCGTCACCTTCCCCAATGAATACTTCCTCTTCTTCGCCAATTGCGTCCCTGAATTACAAGTCACCATGGACGTCCGTACAGAGCTCTACAATCTCGATTCCGGCGCCTCCAAGGACTATCTCTCCGCCGGGTTGACTCAGCTCCCCTCTCTGTATTTCCTTTTCTTCCTCATATACTCATATTTTCTCGGGTTTTGGTTATACCACTGTTACCATACCAGAAGATCAGTACATCGGATCCATTTGCTCATGACCCTATTGCTTCTAACGCAAACTCTGAATTTAGTCAGCTTGGCCAAGTATAAACACTATGTAAAGGTCACAGGGACACCCCACGGGTGGAACATAATTTTCTACGCATGTCAATTCATTAGGGTTCTACTTTTGTCTACGGTGATTGTATCAATTGGTACCGGGTGGTCGTTTTTGGAACCCTCTATGCAAGGAAAAGGTGGGAAGAAAGTGTTGATGATCGTAATTCCGCTACAGGTTTTGGGCAATGTGGCTTCCATCGTCATCGGAGAAACGGGTCCGTTTAGAGAAGATTGGGTGACTTGGAATCAGGTGTTTTTCTTGGTGGATATTGTGTGCATTTGCACAATTATTTTCTCAATTAGATCATCGTTGAGGGAGGCGTCGAAGATGGATGGGAAGGCCTCGAGAAATTTGGGGAAGTTGTATGTGTTTAAGAAATTCTTTATTGTGGTGATTGGGTACTTATTTTATACAAGGATTGTTGTGTTTGCCGTGAAGATCATCGCAGCATATAGGTATCAGGGGGTGACCTATGCAGCTGAGGAGACCGGAAGTCTTGCATTTTATATGGTGATGTTTTATATATTCAGGCCGGTGGAAGAGAATGAGTACTTTGCTCCTGACAAGGAGGCTGCAGAGATAGCTCTCCGGGATCCTCTGGTGAATGCATGATCTGGTAATGGCATCTTATTTCGATATGTATGGCAATTGTTGTAAATCCTATGTTTGCAGGTTTCTTGTTTGTCAAATAGTTTTACGATAACATGTGTTGTTTGTTGCTTAAACCATTGTATGACATGATGACTTTTTCATATGATACGGAACTTTGTTTTATGCTTCAAACCTTGTTTTGAGCTAAGGTTTTATATATTACATATTATTGAAAGGGTTTTGTGTATTACATATTAATTGTCTTCTTATTTGATGATGGTGTCAAATCACTTTGGAAAGTAAATTTAAGCTATAAAGTTGGGCAGCCAAGCAAGGTTGTTGATTGCGGGGATAGACCAACTTTATTCTTTTCTCACTTTTTGCTAGAGTGGGAGAGAGTGTGGCCCTGTGGGAAGAGGGAAGGGGTGGGGACTGTGGGTTCTAGGGGGAGGGAATTGTGGGTTTTGAACACCGGTGCCATGGAAGCAGAAGAAGAACTGTTTTGTCAGATCCATTGAAGAAAAAACGAGAAAAAATAAATAGAAAAACATATTCTTTGGGGACATCGAATAAGATGAAGAAGAAAAAGACAAGTTCATGTACATAACTTGTTTAGTGAGGAAGGAAAAAAGAAAAAAAGAACAAGTTTGATGCTGAAGAAGAAGGAAAGGGAAAAACATAGAATTGGTTCACCCATAGAACCGTTATGGCGAAGCTGAGGGCGATGGGGGTTTGAGGCTGGTTGTGTTTTGAAATTAAAAATAAACAAATGAGGGATATTTAGATGTTTTTATCAATACTGTAACTTAAGTTAAATGTGCATTTTGAACCAGAGACTATACGAGGTCTGTTTGCTTATATTTAAACAATTGGGGTGAAGACTGAATACTAATGAAAAGCCAAAGTTAAAATGGAATTTGCCCAAAAATTTATTTGTTCATACCATGTCCATCAAAGAACAAGATCGAGATAAGGCCAAGATATCCACATAATGCAGTCAACCTCCTCCTTATGTTTTTATTTTTTTTTACCCTTGTTTCAAGTATCAAAACATAAATTGGTGGTTGATAATGTAGTAGAGAACTTACCAAATGTAAAATGTTGATTATCATGATGCAATACAATCACAACAAGTGGCGTGTGAAAGATAAATAATGACATGAAAGTCTAAGATTCTTGATGTAGTTGGACATATACTCACGTAAGTAGCATAGTTGGACAATCCACTGTCACGCTTTCGTACTAATAAATATCTTTAATATCCATAGTCAGTCAATACTATGGTGGAGGAGGAATCCAACTATTCATACAACAAAGAAATAATACAACAATTAGATTAAAGATCAAGTAACAAACACAGCTAGGGGAAACCTCAACCACTATACACAGTACACTTGTCCAATCATAATGAATTAAGAACGGAAAGTCCCCAAATTTTAGTAACAGATGCCCATAAATATTTTGTTTCAATGCTTCTAGTATGTTTTCGGCATCAACATCTTCATATTTGGTAATTCTAACTGGTTTCTCACTAAAGTATGAAAAATTATATTATTTGTTGCATCATGAATGGTACGTTCAATTGATTCAACCTCAAACAAATAAACATTTCAATAAAAAGATAAAGCAGAGTGGATTTGTAACTTGAGCACAGGCTATTGTGTTTTTTTGGGCACTTCTCTTCTCTCCTGGCATGGAAATCCAAGAAACAGTCTGTTGTTTCTTGTTCTTCGACAGAAGCTGAATATCGAGCTATGACTGCTATATGTTCTAAGCTCACTTGGCTGTGTTACCTTCTTATTGATCTTCAAGTGCCTCATCCATAGACTGCTTTGCTCTATTGTGACAACATCCAGGTTGTTCTTCACATTGCTGCTAATCCTGTGTTTCATGAGCGTATTAAGCACATCGGGTTCGATTATCATCTCATTAGAGACAAAATTCAAAAAGGAAGCTGCCAAACAGCTCATGTCCTCACACAGTTTTAGTTGAAAGATATTTTCATTAAATCCTTACCTTCTTATGTTCTTAATGCTCATTTATCCAAGATGGGAATAGTTAATCTCTATTCTCCATCTTGCACCGGGTGGGTATTGCAGCATATCATAGCTGCAGAATCAAGTTCAGTGAAGGAGAAGATCAGCAGAGCAGCAGCAGAAGCAAAGGGAGAAGAAGCTGCAGCTGCAGCTGATAAAAGTGGAAATGGATAACATCATTAGTTAGTTAGTTGGTTAGCTAATAATTTGTTAGATAGTTAGCTAATTTGTTTGTCTCTTGCTGAGTTGTATTGCTGAACTGGAAGTAGCCACATGAAGGCATGTGAAGTCATGTGCGTAATTAGTTTGGTTGTTAAGGATTATATATAAATACTGTGGTATGTAATGAGTACATTTGATTGAATGAGAAGAATGCATAAAAATTCTACATGACTTAACACTGTGTTTCTTATCTTCTTCTTCTCCTTGTATTTCTCTCTTTCTCACACATAGAGCTCTACAATCGTGATTCGGGCACCTCCAAGTCCAAAGACTATCTCTCCTCCGGCTTGACTCAGCTCCCCACTTTGTATTCCTTTTCTTCCTTGTATACTTATCTTTTCAAGGTTTTTGGTTGTACTACTGTTATCAAAACAAAAGATCAGTAGATTGTATCCATTTGCTCATGACCTTATTGGTTTTTTAATCAATACTATGAATCTAATCTGCGCAGCCGAGTATAAACAGTATTTTAAGGCCACAGGAACACCCCACGGGTGGAATATACTTGTCTACACATTTCAATTCAATAGGGTTCTACTTTTGTCCCTGGTGATTGTGTTGATTGGTACCGGGTGGTCGTTTTCGGAACCCTCTTTGCAAGGACAAGGTGGGAAAAGGCGCTGATGATAGTGATTCCACTACAGGTTTTGGGCAATGTGGCTTCCATTGTTATAAGAGAAAAGGGTCCGTCTAGAGAAGATTGGATGACTTGAAATCAGGTGTTTGTCTTGGTGGATATTTAGTGTTGTTGCACGATAATTTTCTCAATTAAATGGTTGTTGAGGTCGAACAAGGAAGGGAAGTTTTCTTTGTAGGAGGTTCTATATTGTTGTGATTGGGTACTTTTTTCATACGGGGACTATTGTGTTTGCCCGAATGATGCAAGAAAGAAATGCCAAGCAGCAAGCCAAGAAATTGTTAAAGCTTTTGAGGAACTTGACCAAAAAGTCTCGATGAAAGAAATTAGCTAATTTCATGGAATTTTCCTTTGACAGGGTTGGTGCAAGCTTAATACTAATGGTTGCTCTAAGGGTAAATCCAGGGCGAGCAGGAATTGCTGGATTCCTCAGAGATGAAAGAGGATATCGGATCAAAGGATTTTTTGGAAGAATTAACAACTCTTCAAGTTTGAATGCTAAATTATGGGCACATACAAGGGACTCAAACTTGTTGCTGA